CAGACCAACTGAAGTTGAGCACAACTTCAGTTTGTCAATGGTCACCACCTTCGTTAGCATATCTGCTGGGTGCTTGCTTCCTACAATCTTTTCAAAGTCAACACTTCATCCTCAAGCAGAGATCTGATGAAATGATACCGTATGTCAATGTGCTTAGTTCTGGAGTGAAACACTGAGTTCTTTGCCAGATGTATTGCACTCTGACTGTCACTATGCAAGACATTCTCCTTTTGAGTGAAACCCAACTCTGCTAACAATCCTTGAAGCCATATCAATTCTTTACTGGCTTCTGTCACTGCTACATACTCAGCCTCTGTAGTGGATAGAGCAACAATCTTTTGTATCCGCGACATCCAACTAACAGCTGTAGCCCCAACAGTGAAAACATAACCAGTGGTGCTTCTCCGGTGATCAACTTCACCTCCAAAGTCTGCATCTACGTAGCCCTGTAACTTTAGAACTCCTTTTCTAAAATACAGACATTTTTCTGTTGTGCCCCGTAGATATCTCAAGATCCATTTGACTGCTTCCCAATGAGCCTTTCCTGGATTTGACATAAACCTGCTTACAACTCCCACTGCATGGCCAATGTCTGGCCTCGTACAGACCATCGCGTACATCAAACTTCCAATGACTGAAGCATAAGGAATCTTAGCCATGAACTCTTCTTCTTCTTTTGATTGAGGAGACTGATCCTTGGATAGACGAAAGTGGCTGGCCAAAGGTGTGCTGAATGGCTTTGCCTTGTCCATGTTAAATCTCTGCAAAACACGGTTGATGTACTCTGCCTGAGATAACTGCAAAAACCCCTTTTGCTTATCTCTCGTGATTTGCATTCCAAGAATCTTCTTCGCTGGGCCTAAGTCCTTCATGTCAAATTCTTTTGACAACTGCATCTTTAAATTTCTGATGTCTTTCATATTTGATCCCACTACTAACATGTCATCGACATAAAGTAGCAATATGATATAGCTGGACTCATATTTCTTGAAGAAACAACAGTGATCAGCATTGCACTTCTGGAATCCTTCCTTGTGCATGAAGCTCTCAAACTTCCTATACCACTGTCTTGGAGCTTGTTTCAGGCCGTACAAGCTTTTCTTCAATCTGCACACCATATCCTTCTTTCCGTCTGAAAAACCTTCAGGCTGATGCATATAGATCTCCTCATCTAGATCTCCGTGAAGAAATGCAGTCTTCACGTCTAATTGCTATAGGTAGAGCTCTTCACTAGCCACAATACTTAACACAGTCCTGATAGTATTGAGATTTACAACTGGAGCAAAGATTTCAGTATAGTCAACTCCTTCTTTCTGCTGAAATCCTTTGACAACCAGTCGGGCTTTGTATCTCTTGGAACCATCATGGTCTTCCTTCACCCGATATACCCATTTGTTGTGAAGTGCTTTCTTTCCCATGGGTAACTTGACTAGTTCCCATGTCTGATTTGAGATCAAGGACTTCATCTCGTCCTTCATGGCAAGCTCCCACTTGCTAGCATCCGGGGTTTGACAAGCCTCCCAATAGTCTTCAGGTTCTCCTCCATCGGTCAACAACATGTAGTCCATGTATCTTCTGTTAGGTACATGGGGCCGAGAGGACCTTCTCAATACAGGAGTTGGAGTAGAAGGTTCTGATTGCTCATCGCCATCTTCATTGGATTTCTCTGACCGGGGATTTTTTATTATAGGAATGTCTGGAATATCTTCCACCTCTGCATAAACTGGCCCACTCGCTTCAGAGTTGCTGGCACTTGTGTTATGCCGATCCTTGTACATCACTCTTTCATTAAAGATGACATCTCTGCTGCGGATCATCTTTTTATTTTCATCATCCCATAAGCGGTAGCCAAACTCATCTTCACCATAACCAAGAAAAGTACATTTCTTTGATTTTGGATCAAGTTTGTTTCTACCTTGATCACTGATGTGCACATATGCTACACACCCGAAAACTCTAAGATGCGAGAGTTTTACTTCTTTTCCGCTCCATACTTCTTCTGGTAACTTGTGATCCAATGGTACCGATGGACTTCGGTTGATCAAGTAAGTTGTTGTGTTGATTGCCTCTGCCCAGAACTGCTTTGGTAGGCCTGACTGCACACGCAAGCTTTTATTCGATTCATACGCTCAGCTACACCATTGTGTTGAGGCGTACCAGGCACGGTTCTCTCCATTCTGATCCCGTGCTCATAGCAAAACTTCTTGAATCTGGTGGTTACGTATTCACCACCATTGTCGGATCTGAGCTTCTTGATCTTCAAGCCTGTCTCATTTTCCACCATAGCTTTCCAAATCTTGAAAGCTTCAAATACTTCTGACTTGTGTTTCAGAAAGTAAACCCATACCTTTCTGGAATGATCATCGATAAAAGTCACGAAGTATTGCTTCCCACCAACGATGGGACAGTCGTTGGACCCCAAACATCGGAGTGGACGAGCTCAAGCTTCTCCTTCTTTGGGGTTCTTCTACTTGTCTGAAAGCTGACTTTCTTCTGCTTTCCAAGTATACAGCCTTCACACATGTCAATTTCTATTGACTGGAGGCCTGGTAATTTTCCTTTTGAGTGAATGATCTTCATCCCTTTTTCACTCATATGCCCAAGTCTTTGGTGCCATAGATTGGGACTTTCATTTGCTGCAACTGCAATCAGATGACATGCTCCTGTGGTCTTGTAAAGAGTACCACTCTTTTTGCCTCGAGCAATTGTCATTGAACCCTTTGAAATCTTCCAATCATCACCATGGAAGATTGTTGTGTAGCCTTCACTGGCTAGCTGGCCCACGGAGATTAAATTCTTCGTCAGGTCGGGAATATGTCTGACATTTTTTAATTCCCAAACAGACCCGTTCAACTTGATTTTTACTGCACCTTTGCCGACAACCTCACATGATTGCTCATTACCAAGGTAAACTTTACCAAGATTTCCAGGAACATAATTCTCGAATAGTTCCTTCTGTGAGGTAGCATGAAAGGATGCTCCAGAGTCTAACACCCAAGACTCTTCTCTGTTCTCCAAAGAACAGATCAGCGTGTCTCCTCTTGAGGTTGAAGCAATATTTGTCTCTTCTTTTGTCTCTTGACCCTTCGGTGCACTCTTGCACTGATTTCTGTAGTGCCCGGTCTTCCCACAATTCCAGCACTCGATCGACTTCGAGTTTTGGGAACCACGATGATTTCTGGACCTGGATCTTCTTCCCTTTGATTTGATATGTCTGCTTTCTTTGGTTGAACTTCTTCCTCTCGACTCTGTATGCAATACAGAAGAGGTTGATGGTTCACCCGACTCCCTCCGCCGGATCTCTTCACTGAGAACCAAATTTTGGACATCATCAAATCTCAACTTATTGCTTCCCGATGAGCTACTCACAGCTGTGACTGTAGCATTCCAGCTTTCTGGTAGGGAAGACAAAAGTATTAAAGCCCGTACTTCATCATCGAACTCGATCTCAATTGAACTCAACTGGGTTGTAACTGTATTGAGCTCATTGAGATGATTTGCCACCGGAGCACCTTCACTCATCCGCAGGTTGAAGGACTTTATTTGAGGCTGATGGTTTCTCGTACATGTTGGAAAGAGCCTTCATGAGGCCTGCTGTCGTTTTTTCTTTTGCAATGTTAAAAGCAACATTACGGGATAACGTCAGCCGAATGGCTCCAAGGGCTTGTCTGTCAAGGAGACTCCATTCTTCCTCCTTCATGCCCTCTGGCTTCTTTCCCGTGAGTGGTTGATACATATTCTTCTGGTACAGATAATCCTCGATCTGCATCTTCCAGAAGCCAAAGTCCGCACCATCGAACTTTTCAATTTTCATTTTTCCTTCGTCTGCAGCCATCACTTCGACTCTGATCTGACTTATCTGCCGGATCGTTTCTGTAATTTTTTGTGAACTACCGTGTTTCAGAACACGTCGGTAGATAAATTTGTAGCGCCGACAAATTTGGCACTATTCCCGGTTTTCACTATTCACGGAATAGTAACCCACACAAAAAAATTACAGAATTAACAATCTGGCTCTGATACCAGTTGTTGGGAAAAATACGCTGAAATTTCCATGAAGTCGGATCAATAAAAGTGAAATAAAAAAAGAAAATTTGGACACACCAATTTGATAACGAAGTTCGGCCAATAATGCCTACGTCTCCGGACTACTGCAGATATTTTATTAGGGGAAAAAGAAATACACTCGTGTTTACAAACACTCTCGAAACCACTCACAACTCACAACTCAAATACACACAAAAGCTAAAACTGCTCCCTTTCTTTTCTCTCTTTCTCTGTATTTGTTGTATTTCTGTTGTGTTGGTGTGTCTTTGCTCATCAGATTGCTCTTCTATTTATAGAAGAGAAATGCATCATTGTTCAGCAACCACTTTTTGCCTTCACACGTGCAACAACCAATTGCACCATTTCTTCCACTAAAGTGTACTAATCTTTTTCAACATAAGGTTGCTGCTTTTTTTTTTTTTTTTTTCTGCTGTTTTCAAAGAAAGTGGGCACACCTCCCAACTTTTGACTCAACATTTTAATCGTTGGATACACATGTAGTTAGTATAAAATAGGTTATCTAACAGTTAAAACTCCTGAAGAGATGGTTTCGTAATAGGACCATAACATTTTCTCATATTTATGGAACCTCGGGAGAGTTTGGTCCGTGTCTCCTTGATTTGTACTTGTAAGGCTGGAAAACATATGAGATATCAACCATTTGTTGAAGTTAGTATTTTGATGAGGACAAGACCAGAAGGCTTTTATTAATGTCCGGCCACCCCCTATACTATATTTATTAATTGACCTCTATGTTTTGTTTTTAGTACATTGACGTTCTACCCCATGGGTAAATTCGAAAACTTGCTTTTCATTGCATCATTTGTAAATAGAAATACACTATATTCCTAATAAATTGGAGCAAAAATTAAGTCCGGTTTCCAATCTTTCGTGCTATTTATATGCATTCAGCGTCTCTTCAGTAACACACACACTCACACGCGGCAGGCAAGATGGACGGTGGTATTGTAGCTCCGTCGGACGAGCAACTGATGAAAAGCGTTCATGTCTTTATGGTCTCTTTCCCCGGCCAAGGCCACGTCAACCCGCTCCTCCGCCTCGGCAAGCGCCTCGCCGATTTCGGCTGCCTCATCACCTTCTCAGCTCCCGAAGCCATCGGCCCAAGCCTCCGGCGATCGAACAACATCGTCGGCGATGAGCCCGTCCCCTTCGGCCGTGGCTCCATCCGGTTCGATTTCTTCTACGACGGCTGGGACCCGGACAACCCGAACCGCCACGACATCGGGGCCTACATGGCCCAGCTCGAATCAGCCGGTCGGGAAAAGCTGCCGGAGATGATTCGAAATCAGTCGGCCCGTGGCCGGCCCGTTTCTTGCCTCATCAACAGCCCTTTCATTCCGTGGGTTTCGGACATGGCCGAGGACTTGGGGATCCCTAGCGCGATTCTCTGGGTTCAGTCGTGTGCGTCTTTTTCTGCCTATTACCATTTTCACCATAAGTTGGTCCCTTTTCCGACCGAAAACGAGCCCGAAATCGACGTCCAGCTGCCTTGCATGCCGTTGCTGAAGCACGACGAGATTCCGAGCTTCTTGCATCCAAACACGCCTTATCCGTTTTTAAGAGAGGCTATTTTGGCTCAGTTCGACACCCTGCACAAGCCGATATCCATTCTAATGGACACGTTTCAAGAATTGGAGCACGAGACGGTGGAGTACATGTCCAGGATTTCCCGGCCCATCAAGACCATCGGCCCGCTATTCAAGTCGAGCGACTCGAAGGATGCTGTCAAAGCGGACATGTACGAGGCGGAGAACTGTATCGGTTGGCTGGACGGGAAGTCTCCCCGGACGGTGGTGTACATCTCGTTCGGGAGTATCGTGCATCTGAAGCAGGAGCAGATTGACGAGATTGCCCACGGGCTGATCCAGTCGGAGGTCCATTTCCTCTGGGTCATGCGGCCGCTGCAGCCGCAGGCGGCGGCGGAAGCTCGGCCGCACGTGCTGCCGGAGGGGTTCCTGGAGGCGGTGGCTGCCGGCGGGGAGAGGGGGAAGGTGGTGCGGTGGGCCCCGCAGGAGGCGGTGCTGGGCCACCGGGCGACGGGGTGCTTCGTGACGCATTGCGGGTGGAACTCGACGGTGGAGGCGCTGGCGAGCGGTGTGCCGGTGGTGGCGTTTCCACAGTGGGGGGACCAGGTGACGGACGCGAAGTACCTGGTCGACGTGTTCCGGGTCGGGTTGAGGCTGTGCAGGGGGGAGGCCGAGGGCCGGGTCGTGGGGAGGGACGAGGTGGAGAGGTGCCTCCGAGCGGCCACGGCCGGGCCGGAGGCGGAGGAGTTGAGGAGGAACGCGGGGAGGTGGAAGAGGGCGGCGGAGGAGGCGGTGGCGGAGGGTGGGTCGTCTTGCAAGAACATGGAGGCGTTGGTGAGGGAGGTGGCGGGGATTGGCGGTCGGAATTGAGCGACGTGGCTTACTAGACATAGTATACTGTTCCTTATTTGTCGTGTTGTCTTATGATTACCCGTGGTCCTGTACCTTATCGTCTGATGACACCATTTTCCAGTGGCACAAATTTCTAGAAGTCAGTATTCTTCCTTGCTGCATTATGTTGTTTTCACAAATTGGAAGAGTCAAATTAGAATTACTCTTCCCTTTGTTTTCACAATAAATAAATATCACAAATTAGAATTACTCTTCCTTGCTGCATTATGTTGTTTTTGTTATAAAATGAGATGAAAATAAAGAGCACAATGTCAAAATCGGATATAAACTGTAACTGATTTTCTTTGCTTTCAATGTTCCTTTTTCCGTACGAAAAATCTCATTACATCTCTTGCCTATTTATAGTCAAAATTGGCACACATTTCAACACACACTTAATAAAATAATACAAAGATAAAATTGAATAGTGGTAAAATTCCACCACTTGTTTATAACACTCCCCCTTGGAATTACCACT